TTAGCCTTTAAAGTATGATGTTCGTATTTTAAGCATGCATAAGCACCATGAAGGCAAAAACTATTTTAATCCTGCTACAAATATTTAGTGAACCCCTCCTGTGGCATTTTGTTTTGTAAAGCCCACCTCTTCTGCAGCCTTTATAGCACCTTTGGCTTATGTAATAGATGCTGAGTGACTATTTATTGATTCTTGGAGTAATCTCTGGGTTTGTGATTCTTGAAAGTTATGTTTACAGGCTAGTGGACAATCTTGTTTTCTGGAAGTTCAATGAGGGTTTGAATACTAGAGGATAGAATACTAGACAGGTTTTCAATATTAAAATGTTTGCATTTTCTTTTTTATCAGGAACAATCCTTTATGCCATGATTAAATTTTGAATATGACAGCCTGATGCACTTAAATTTAAATCAATAGTTTAAAATACTACATGAAAAAAAGTAGTCAAGTTCTGTGAGTTTTGCTGAGGGGAAGATTGAAGGCTTCTACAGAAGAAATTCTTCTTATACAAGAACAGGACAGTTGTTTCCTTTTCAGAAAATTAGATCTGGTTTCTTGAAAAGGCTGGAACTCACTAAAACTGTTCAAAGTTATCAAGCTGACTTTCTATGCTAAGAATACAGCAGAAATGTGTTCTTTATAACAAAATGTGGTAAAACCAAACGTTACCTGTTCTCTAAGAAAAGAAGTCCATCGAGGCATAACACTGCTGTCCAGTGTATCATAGACTGTTACTAACGAGATTCCAGCAGGATGGACAACACTGGAGGCCTTGAGAGTTAAGATCCAGGATCTAGAAGACAAGATGGTGAAATGTGTCGTTCTAAATGGCACAACCACTGGATGTGAACAACTTAAAATCATTGAGAAAAACTAATTAAAAGAACACAAAATAAAATAGTTTGACCCTCTTAATCACCAACTCTGAGACTGATAGGAATATTGAGCTTGTTTTCTCATGTTCCCCTCCATATTTTCTCATGTTTACCCTCGAGTTTTGATATTTCACAGAATGTGGCCTAGGTTTGATGCTCTGCACTTTATAAGCTCTTTATCTGTGTGAACACTTTCACTTCCCTTCAGTTTTCTTCTAGATTAGTTTTCTTTTATTTCTTTATTTTCCCTCTTTACTGTCTCCTTCTTACTTTCTGACTTGTTCTGTCACTTTATTCAAGTATGCGCGAAGGTTAACATTATCGAATCGCAGTAATCAGTCTGTGAAGACGTTTTGCTGCTGCTTCTTATCTGGCTTTATTTTTCTTCATACAATAAATAGCACCTAATATTTATTTATTTGTTTATACTGTTTCTCCTATAACTTAAATGTAAGGCAGGGACTTTTTTTATTCACTGCTGTTTCCTCCTCAGTGTTTCTTGCACATAGTAGGTGGTCAATAATAATTAATTATATGAGGTTGTTGTTGGATTCGGCATTCATCCTCATCTTTCAACTTTTATTGCGTATTTTAAATAGATATTTTTTCTACATTTTGAGAGGTTCTTTTTTTTTTAACATTCCAGCAACCATTGAATATATGCTTTTGATAACTGTGTTTTTAATTCTAACATTTCTTGTTCTCTGGTCTTTTACGTCACACTGTGTACTTGTTTTATGGCTGTAGTCTCTCGAAGGATACCAAGTAAACTCTCCCATCCCGCATTCTCCCCTAATAGATTATCTTCCGATTCCTAAATTTTCGGGGGTTTTTTTCCTTTGTTCATCTTGGTCTTTCATTTCTTGTAACTGGGTTTCTCTGGAGCTGGTTTGGGTTTCTTCAGTAGCTGTTTAGATACACTCCTCTCAGAGATCTCTTTCTTTACCATAGTAAAAATAGCACTCCCAGTAGTGTGCTTGGGCATATGGCAGGAAAAGGAGGTAAAGAAGGAAGCATTCAAATGGCTCAACTATTGTGAATGAATATAATTTTAATTATCCTACAGTTTGTCCTACAGCAACTCTTCTTACTTCTAGGAGTCTCTTATCGGTGGTATCTTTTGCTGTGGTTTGCTTTGCTTTTATTTTTCTGTCAGTTTCATTCTGCCTACCTATATTTTCTAAAAATACTGACAATTTTTTTTTAGATGATACTTTTTCTTATTATCTAATACAGTGAATTTATTTTTAATTTTTAAACTTTTTACAACTTTATAATACTGGAAATGGTTGAAGAAATACATGTTTGTAGAGTGAAATTGGAAAACTCATTTTCTTCTCTTCCCTCTCTATTCTCCTCCCCGGAAGTAACCACTATTACTAATTTACTTATTTTTAACATAAGTGTAATTATTACTCTGTTACTTTTTTGACTTAACATATCTTGAATATTTTTCCATCTTAACAATTTATTAATTTATTCTAGATGAATAAAATTCCTATTTTTTACTAATGGGTAAAAAGTAATATTTTATTGTTTTAATAGCATTTCCCTGATTTGAAGTTTTAATTGTTGAGCATTTTTTAAATGTATTCATTGATTTTAAGAGAGGGCAGACAGTTTTAAAATATTAGCACACTATATTTTTAAAAAGGACAAATATAAGAATATATACAATGTCTAGATATATTTAAGATACAAGTAAAAACATAGGCAAAGGGTAGAAATAGTTCAGCATTTCACAAAACATAAAATACATATATAATACAAATCTGCAGTTAGTTTACAGTTTTTATACTATTATTTTTATATATCTCTTCTGTCCCTTCAGTGAGTCCTTGGTAGGGAAGGGAATTAGATATGTGGGCTCAGTGTAGCCACCTTCAGCAGGAATTCAGGCAGATAATTAATTATCCCATGTACTAGTGTTTGTCTCGGCTTAATCTAATAAGTTAAGATCAGGAAATTTCAGAAGCATGCATTCACTCATAACATTAGCTATGCTTCCATTTTATGCACCAAAACTATTTCTGATAGGTGAATTGTTGGCAAGTAGAATGTTAGAGGCCCTATCGAGGTTTAAGTGGACGTGAGAGATCTAGAACAGTTTGCCTTAATGTTTACAGAAGAGAATCTCTGAGAAAGATTTGCCCCAAATTTCCTGCTTAGTATCAGAGTAAGGATTAGGATTTAGATAGCCCAATTTTCACACCTTCCCTCCGCCCACCCAGCCGTTATATTCTCCTGCTCTTCCTTCATTATCAGGGAACAACTTCTAGTCTGAAAACAATCACGTTTTCAAAAACATGTTTTCACTCCTTTTAAACAGACTGTAGGTTTTTATTCAGAATCAGTGGCTACAGATTTAGAATTTTAGATCAAAAGCCTGCTAGGCATGAAAATTAACTTTTTGAGACCATGAACAACTTAGCACTTCTTTTCTTAAATTTGTTTTCATCTCAAATCAGAATTCTTATATAAAGCATTATTTCTGTTTTGTTTTTTAAAAGATTTTTATTGGGGAATTGGGGGGATGGGAACAGCGCTGGGGAATTGGGGGAAGGGGAACAGACAAGTTGCTGTCCCTTTGTTCTTCAGTCCAGCTGTGGAGGACGTCGCTTCACTGGCCCAAGTTGGCACCATCATTGCGCTCTTCCCGGGTGAGGCAGATCAGTCGCCGGCTTCTGGAAGGCCTCTCACGGTGGCTGCTGGCCACTCACGCTGGCTGCTGGTTACACACGGTAGCCCACAGCAGCCCACTGCAGCAGGGGCTGCAGCCCACACTGACGTCGGCGACTCACGGCAGCCCAGCTCCAGGTCGAGGTGCTGCTCAGCCTCTTAGCTGTAGAGGGCAGCGTCACTGGCCCTCATATGTGGAATCCGAACCGGGGCCCTCTGGCGTCCGAAGCCAGCTCTTAACCATAGCACCACTCGGCTGGCCCCAAAGCATTATTTCTTTATACAAAATGCTATTTGGAAACACTGTAGCTATTTGGAAATACTTGTTGCTTTGGAGAGATGTAAAATATTCTTTGGCATCAAATAATTAAAATTGCAATCTTTCTTTTTTTACAAGTTCTATTTGTGGACACAGATTTTTATTGATTAATTTTTTACTTTAATTTTGGAATAGGGAGTTGTTTGTGAATTATTAGGATGTAGGAGGATCAGTCAAGGTCAGTAAATTATTTTTTATAAAACCAACAGAGTAGAATTGTTTATGTCCTTCCTATACATTGTATTATCAGAATTTTCCATTTGTCAATCTGTGTTTTGTAAATATGTTTTTCCTACTGTAAGAAAATTAAGAAAAGTAACATTTTGGTGATCATAACCTGTGTTTTAAACATATTAGAGATTTAAAGGATAAATAAATTGGAGGGTAAGTGAGCTCTCAGAGTTGTAAATGACACCTGGACTTGAGTAACGTCCAAGGCCAAAGTGGCTGAGAGCTATAATCTGCATTTATATTCATTTTTTATCATCAGTTGCAGAAATTTTATAACAAATGCATTTTTTAAAATTATGGTGTACTAACTTTATTAATTAAAATCCTCCCGATGAAAACTTATTTTATCTTAGAAAATGGCCTGAGGCTTCTCCTTTAATTTATTGATTTAGAACAAAGTGTTTGAAAAAGCATATGAAAGGACTTGAGATAATTGCAATGCACATAGTATCCAGCTTGCCAGTGATATTTTTCTTTTTCTGTAGTTTATGTAACAAAGTATTTTAAACTCTTTCTAGAATGGAGTTTTACTTCAATAATAAGCAATACTCTACCCAAAGAATTTCCAGTGATACTACAAGCTTCACTGTGGTATAAAAGGTTAATTAATGAGGCTTTATTTAGGAAAATAGATCACGGAACTCCATATGATGGTATGAATTTCCCAATGTTTCCATGTTCTAAATTGGAATGGAAAATACATTAAAATTTAAATTAGATTTGGTTTCAAAGTTGGGGAGTCGGTGGGAAAGGCAGTGGGGTGGGGATTATGGACTGTCTGGGACTCCATAGTGGGAGGTGGAGTCACAGCAGCCTTTTAATCATAAATAGAAAGGAAATTTTTACCAGGGCATTTAGGTTACATGCTCTTTTTCTCCCTTTTTTGTTTGTTCCAGGAAAAGGGGAAGATAGTGACGCACTCAGTATAAATGCAGACGCTTATGACAGCGACATAGAAGGCCCGTGCAACGAAGAAGCAGCGGCTCCTGAGGTCCCAGAAAATACAGTACAGGGTGAAGCTGGTCCGATAGATGATCTGGAGAAGGACATTGAGAAGAGTGTGAATGAGATCCTGGGACTGGCGGAGTCTAGCCCAGAGGAGCCCAAAGCTGCTGCCCTGACTGTTCCTCCTGCAGAAGACGTGCAGCCTTCCGCACAGCAGCTGGAGCTGCTCGAACTGGAGATGAGGGCGCGAGCCATCAAAGCTCTGATGAAAGCTGGCGATATAAAAAAGCCCGCCTAGGCATTTAACTTCAGCCTGAGTTTTAGGTGTGTTTGAACAAAGCCATGTCATATAATTTTGTATCTGAAGTTTATTTTGGGTCTTATATGATATTTCTCAACACTATTAGATAAACTCATCTTAAACCTAAAATACGTTTGGGCTTTTTGTTGTTGTTACTTTTATATTATATATGTGTTACTGTTTCTTGAGTTCATGGCAAATATTGTTGGATAACTGGATACTTGGTTAGATAAGTACATATAGCTATGTCTGTAGGTTAATATCTGAAAAGCCATCATCAGCATAGAGTCATGGTATATTTTTCTTTATTATTAAATGTTTTGGCACAAACGTAAAAGCTTAAGAAAAATTGACCAAGCATGTTGCTCTTAAGGCTGCCTGTACTTTGCAATAGAATATTAAATTATTGCTCCTAGGTTTGTTAACATTTTAAGAAATTTAATTATGCTTATATAAAATATGTATTGTCTTGAAGATACTTTATGGGTGTGGATTTACTAGTAGAAACTGAGTAGAATTTTTCACTATAAGGATTAGCAATCTGAAATGGCTGAGAAAAACTCAATTTGTAAATGAAAAAAGGACTTAATTTAAGGCAATTTTTAACAATGTGGAGTAACTGCCCAACTTTAATTCCAGCAGATAAGCCGTTTGTTCTCACAGGTATTTGATATTATTGTACTCTTTGTTCAAGGGTTTTTTTGGGTTTGTTTGTTTTTCCAATAAAAAGGGAACACATTTTCATTCCAAGCCATCAGGAAAAGGAGAATATTTTATCGTATAGGCTTTCATCTGGTATTTTTACTTGAAGATCTGATGTGCTATATAATTCCATGAATTAAAAATAATAAAGACTGTCATTCTAGATTTGAAGACTTGATACATTGCCAAATGCAAAATTAACTTCAGGAAGCTTTGATAAGTTGATATTTTAATTAATCTACTTTTGTATAGTTTTTGTAAGTAACATCCTGCCACAATTACATATGCTTTTTGCCCCATCACTAATTGCAGTTGTTTGATACCAAAATAAATTTAGATACAGACTCTTAAAATTCTTTTTTTTTTTTCAGAAATATAAATCTGAAGCTGTTTTTATATTTACTCACAATTATAGTATATTTTATTTATAAGCCATGCTCTACTAATGTTGTACGAGGATTTTACTCAGACACACTTTTAGGGATTGTGTTTTGTTAGCTGGCTTAATTATATGTAAATTTAGAGGATTTCTTATGGAAATAGAGAGTATGAAACATTGAAGTTACAGTTACAAATTCATTTTTTTGGTTGTTCCTGAACATGCCTTTAAATAATCTTGTCATTTTTTTTCTCCCTGAATCTTCCTGATGGAGCACAGAGGCCTGTAATATTTGAAATGCTTAGGCTGGTGAATGTGAATCTGATTTAGATAGTGAGTTCTCCTAGTTACTGCTTCAAGATGACAAAGCACTGATCATGGCAAAATAATTTTTTATTTCAACTTAAATTGAAAGTTAACATCATAAAATAGTGCAGGATAAACTTTATTGCTGCTTACTAATTATAAAATGCAGTAGATGACGTATGTGATTAAACCTACAGGAGTAGTAAAAGGTCTGAGTGCTTTGTAACTGATTAAAGTCACTGCCTTCTGGAAGAATTGTGTGTCTGCTCTGTTGAGTGCGCACGGGTTTAGAGGACATTTGACTAGAGTTGGTGTGTGTGAGGTAGAATGAGCTGAACAAATTAGAGGCTTTTTAGACGCCGACTTGGAAAATCAACTTTTCCTCTTCTTTTTTTTCTTCCTTTTTTAATGTTTAAAGACATGAGAGCTTTTTGAAAATGAATGGCTTTAGAGAATAGGGATACGTTTATTTTAGAAATGCCTAAGTAATGAGAAAATACCATATATTGATCCGATGCTGTTATTCAAATCATCAGCTCACAGGTATTTATTGATTGCCTTTAAGGTGTTCAGTCTTCTTCAGAATCTTAACCTCGGATGTCACAGTATAGATTTTAGCATGGAGTAGACTGACTCATAAAGATACGGCTGCTGCTATATTCCTTTATAAAGGATATAAAGAGGAATTATATCCTTAATTCCTCCCTTTGCCAAGGTAATGAAAATTTACAGGCAGTGTTTAATAATTAAAAGAGAAAACACTTAGCAGCCTAATTTTCCATTTAAAGTCAAGTAATCCTGATAGCTGACCAAGATCTTGACCCAAACCTTAAATGATAGGTGGCAACTGTTAATAATGGGTCCTCTAATAATAATTAGACCTTGATCCACTTTTTGATGTTTCTACTACTTTACTTACACTCAGACATATCCTAAAAGGCCTATTACCAGATTACCTGTGTAACATACAGTTATGCAAAATCACCTAAATACCCCACATCCTTTTTGTTGAACACCATCAGTTCCTTAAAACTATCAGGCAGTATATCCTTCCTGATAAATCTTGTTGCCAAAACTTACTTTCAACAAATCCTTAGATCCTAGTACCTGATTAGATAAGTAGAGGTGTTCTGAGTCATTTGACCAGTAATACAAAATACAATAAAATATGTATTTTTCAATGCCATTTTCAAGGTAGATAAAGCAGGAGTGAACCCATAATTGAGGCCACCTATGGATGGCAGTCTAAAAAGTAGAAAAAAACGAGTTCAGTTCTAGATACTAATCCTTTATTGTATCTATTTAATTCCTAAAAAGACCAATATCCTGTAACTTAAAAATGCTAGGTATTTTTACAGTTTCTTTATCTTCAAGTGGACTCCCTTTTTAAAGCAAAGGTGAGAATGAATATCAGTGGGAACTCAAATACATTTCCTTGATATTAACTCATTATTTTAAAAAGCTTTGTGATGCAATGAAGAGTGTGAGAGTTAAGAACAGAAGGTTCTGATTCTGTCCAAACCAGCTGTGTAACCTTGGACAAGTAATACAAAGAGGGTAGTAAATTGTTAACCAGTATATAGGATTTCTTTCTGCTGTAATATTTTGTGATCGTAGTACGGGATACTATAAGAATTTGGGAAATTTAGGGAACTTTTGAGTTCAAGCATTTACCTTTTCCCTTCTTCCCCCCATTCAAAATGAAGCAATCCATTTAATCCTTTGTCCGTGTTGCTGGATATGAAGAAGAATCCAGTTTTTTGTTTTTTTGGTTTTTTTTCTTTTACTTTTTACAGTCTTTACTGTTAGGATCATTTGGCAAGTATACTGTCTAGAATTATTCACTTTGGCCCATAAAGTTAGGTTATCTTTAATTTATTACTTTATTTCAAAATAACATGCAAATAATGTTAAATCAAAAAAGATTTTTTTCCAAGGCTTATAATGAAAAATAGTACTCTCTTTCCCTATTCTTTTTACATCAGCTTTTGCTACTGAGAGGGAACCACTTAAAATCTTTTAGCCATTTTTTCCATTTATCTCTGTATTTTTAAGTAACATCATTATTAGGCTATATGTTGATATTTCTGGTTTTGAATTTATTTGTTGATCTATTTTGGAATATGAAGGTTAAGCTCTATTTCTTCTATCTCTCCCCTAAACATGTACCTTCCTCCCTCATCCTCTCAATACAGTGCAGTTACACGGTATTTTTTGTTATTAGCATTTAATATTTATACTATTTTCACTATGTAAATACTATATATAACTGGATTGTGTGGTATCTGTGATTATATTCCTCTTTTGTTCCAATTTTTTATTCAAATTTTTTGGGATTAATAATATAAATACCTTATTATTTCATATGCTCAGTGTTCTCTGTAATACACATTAACTTATACCCTGTCTTCCAGAAGTGTAAATATTTTCTCGGTAGGATGAAAAACATGTAATCTTTTTTTTTTTTTTTAACATTCCCCCTGGAGCTGTGTTGTTTGTTAATCTGGATTGGTTGCCCTTCACCTGGCATGTTGGATATCCCATTTCTGAATCGTCTGCCTTCCTCTTGTAGTGTATTTCCTCATTTTGGTGGCATACCTCTTCCAACAGCTTCCTGTGAAAGAATGCATGAACAGTAATTGTTTTGATTCATTTGTGTGACTCAGCATGGCTCAGTTCTGTCCATACACTGGATTAAACATTATGTGAGTGTTGACGCCTACGCTGGAAATCCTTGTCCTTCAGAATTTTACAGCATTGTACCAGTGCCTCCAGCTTCCATTGAAGCAGTTGAGAAGTCATTCGTCATTTTGTTTCTTTTTAACTTATATGTGTCCTATTTCTTTCTCTTTGGAAGCTGTTAGGATCTTATCTTTATTCCCAGTATTTGGAAATTTCTTGATGTGTCAGAGGATGGTTCCCTTTATGTTGTTTATTTGTTTGTTTAAAAATACTACTTCCTGGGCCGGCGTTGGTTAAGAGCTGGCTTGGGACGCCAGAGGGCCCTGGTTCGGATCCCACATATGAGGGCCAGTGACACTGCCCTCTACAGCTAAGATGCTGAACAACAGCTCAACCTGGAACTGGGCTGCCAAGAGTCGCCTGGCGACAGCGTAGGCTGCAGCCCCCGCTGCAGTGGGTTGCTATGGACTACCGTGTGTAGCCAGCAGCCAGCGTGAGTGGCCAGCAGCCGCTGTGAGTGGCCGTCCAGAAGCCTGCAACTGATCTGCCTGGCCCGGGAAGAGCGCAATGATGGTGCCAGCTTGGGCCAGTGAAGCAACATCCTCCACAACTAGACTGAAGAACAGAAGGACAGCAACTTGTCTGTTCCCCTTCCCCCAATTCCCCAGCGCTGTTCCCATCCCCCAATTCCCCAATAAAAATCTTTGGAAAAAAAAATACTACTTCCTGTCTTTTTTTTTCCTATCTCAAACTCTGACCGTGTGAAAATCCTTCTAGGCAAGTGATGAGCGACCCTATACTGGAAATAATTAGGCTCCATCCTACTTAAATAAAAAACTGTTGGATGGATCTCTTTGCATTCACTAATAATTGGTGGGCAATCTCAGAGGGGAAATTAATGTCAGGTAGTCCTGGGAAGTTTTAAAATATTGTTTCCTGGTTGCATTCCCTTCCCTCTGCTTTTTCCCTAATCTCTATTTCTGGAACTCCTTTTATTAAGATATTGATATTTAGGCCTGATTTTCTTTTTTATTTCTTTTTTTTTAAGATTTTACTGGGGTTTTCCAGGACCCATCAGCTCCAAGTCAAGTTGTCCTTCAATCTTAGTTGTGGGCACAAGCTCAGCTCCAAATCCAGTTGCCGCTTTCAATCTAGTTGCGGGGAATCTGGGGATGGGGGGACGAAGCCCACCATTCCATGCTGCAGTCAAACCTGCAACCTTAAGAGCACACACTCTCACCAGCTGAGCCATCCTGCCACCTGTTGGCAGCTCAGCAGCAACTCAACTCCGGTGCAGCGTCACTGGCCCATGTGGGAATCGAACCGGCAACCCTGTTGCTCAGCGCTCACACTCTTAACCAACTGAGCCACTTGGCCGGCCCCTCTTTTTTATTGTCTCTATTTTCCATCTTTTCTCCTACTTACATGTTTTCTCAGTATTCTCTTCCAATTCTTCCAATGCTTAAAAAAACAATTTGTATTTTTAATATCCAAAAGACCTTTATATTTTTTATTCTCTGAATACTCTGCTTTAAAAATAGCATGTCTTTGTGTCTGTAAGGGAGTGGTTCCATCCTGGCGACCCTGCCTGAATCCTGCGAGGCCATGCAGGCAGGGCGTAGCGTCCCAACCGGCCTGTTGTGGTGCTATGTGATCCTCCCAGGACTGTGCCAGACAGACAGCCCATGAGGGGTCACAGGAACATTTTTTCATCTACCTGATGTTCTTGAGGGAAGCGACCTGTCTTGCAGAGGATGTCTTGAGACAGTTTTCCCATTTGCCTCTGATTCCTTTGAGACTTGGAAACTTTCTGCCTTGCCCAACTTAGGGCATAGCTGCAGGCTATAACATTGCTTAGCTGCAGCCTGGCATTCGCTTCTCAGCAACAAGGTGTCCCATCAATCCTCTTGCATCTTTTACTTTGTTAGCACTCCACACAAGGGCCTTGGGGAATTGACTACTTTTTTGGGGGGTTTTGTTTGTTTG